ATCCTATCATGAAGGTTTGTCCCTCATGACTTCGTCTTATCCTAGTTATCTTCCAAAGGCCCCATCTCCATTACAGTAGGGCTTAGGGCTTCAACATATAAATTTGGGAGACACACAAATATTCACTCTATAATATGTATCTAACAACAGACCTGCAGAATATATAAAGCAAAAAAAAATGACATTATTGAATATACAAACAGTTATACAATAGTACCTTGAGCCTTGACTATTCTACTTCCAATAATAAATAAAACAATGAGTCACTAAATTCTACACCTGAAACTAATATTACACCTTATGTTAACTGACTTGAAATTTAAAAATTTGAAAACAAAACAAAATAATAAAACAATGAAATAGAAGATCAGTAAGGAAACAGAAGACTTGAACAACACTATATTTAAGTCAACAGACAAAACAGAATCCTCAACCTATTAATAGCAAAACACTGATTTTTGTCTTAAGTGCATGTTGAACAACCTTCAGAATAGAACATGCAATTAGCCACAAAACAAATCTTAATACATTTTAAGAGACTGAAAATATACCACATATCTTTACCAATTACAGTGGAATGAAACCTATGTGGAAATTAAGCAACACACTTTTTTGAAGTATAATTAATATGCAGTTAGTTCTATTAGTTTCAGATGTACAAACATATGGATTCAACAATTCAATACCCTACTCAATGCCCATCACAGTAATGTAGTAACCATACAACATTACTAAAATAGTATTGGCTGTATTCCTTATTTTGTACTTTTCATCTCTGTGACTTATTTTATAACTGAAAATGTGTACCTTTTAATTCCCTTTATCTATTTAACCCACCCCTACATCCATACCATCCTTCCCTCTAAGCAAATACCAGTGCGTTCTCTGTATTTAAGAGTCTCTCTCTTTCTCTCTCTCTTTTTTTGAAACAACATACTCTTAATAAATCACTAGATTAAATAAGAAATCCAAAAATGAAATTACAGTTTGGGATAAATGAAAATGAAAACACGCATAACAAAACTTAGAGGATGTAGTGGGCCCAGTGGAATGAAACTAGAAATCAATAGTAGGAGAAGTAGAAAATCCACAAATATGAGAAATTTAAAGACTTTTAACCAGTGCATCAAAGAATACTTCACAGGGGAAATCACAGATCTTGAGACAAACTGAAAAACACAACATTACAAACACTTAACAGAATGCATCCAAATCAGAGCTAGGAGAAATTTACAGCTGTAAACATTTCCATTTAAAAAAGAATCTCAAATTAGTAACTTTACATAATATGGAATTAGAAAGAAGAACAATTTAAACCCAAAGCTGTCAGAAAAATGGAAATAGTAAAGATTAGAGCACAGATAAACAAAACAATATAAAGATCAGCAAACCCAGGAGTTGGTTCCTTGAAAATAACAGCAAAATTGAAAAACTTTTGGCTAGATTGACTATTAAAACAGACAAGAGGGCGCCTGGGTGGCTCAGTGGGTTAAGCCACTGCGTTCGGCTCAGGTCATGATCTCAGAGTCCTGGGATCGAGCCCCGCATCGGGCTCTCTGCTCAGCAGGGAGCCTGCTTCCTCCTCTCTCTCTGCCTGCCTCTCTGCCTGTGATCTCTCTGTCAAATAAATAAATAAAATCTAAAAACAAAAACAAAAAAAAAAACAGACAAGAGAGAGAAGACTCAAATTACTAAAATCAGAAGTGAAAGTAGGGACTTTACCAATTTTTCAAAAATAAAAAGGATTATAAGAATACTATAGACAAATGTAGGCTAAGCACTCTGATAATCTTGATGAAATGGGAAAACTAGAAATACACAAACTACAAAAACGACCTATGAAAAAATAGAAAATCCAAACAGACCTATACCAAAAAAAAAAAAAAGAGAGAGAGAGAGAAAGAAAGAAATTAAATCATTAAGCAAAAGCCTCCTAACAAAGAAAAGCCCAAGTCCAGATGGTTTCACTGGTGAATTCTTCCAAACATTTAAAGAATTAACACCAATACTCCTCAAACTCTTCCCAAAACTTGAATTAGAGGGATCACTTCCAAACTCATTCTGTGAGGTCAACATTACCTTGTTATTAAAATACTACAGGCCAGTATCCCTTGTGAATATAGATGAATATAGATGCAAAGGTCCTCAACACAATACTAGCAATAATAATATGCTAGTGAATTCAACAACCTATTAAAAGAATTATACACTATGACCAAATGGAATTTATCCCAGTCCTGTGAGGGTGGCACAAGCTATAAAAATCAATGTAATGTTAGGTGCCTGGGTGACTCAATTGGTTAAGCATCTAACTCTTGATCTCAGCTCATGTCTTGATCTCACGGTTTTGAGTTCAAGCACAGCACTGGGCTCCATGCTGGGTGTAGTACCTACTTTAAAAAAATCAATATAATGTGCTACATTAAAAGAATGAAGAGACTGTATGATCAATTATGTGTCAGCTTCTCTCTGAAGAGAATGGTGAATATAGATGGGAACACCAGTGTCATGACTGAGGTATAGCAAGGAAATAACTTGACAAAAAAATATTTAATATTCTTTATTTTTTTATTATGAAAGATACAGAGAATAAGAATCTATCTATAAACCAACAACCATTTTTATCAATTTATAGGAATTGGCCACACTTGCTTATTTTTTAAAGAAGTAAATGATTAAAAGATAGCTCCCTTTGCATCCTTTTTCTCAATCTCATTTTTTCCTCCTCCATATGTCACTACTGTTTTGGATTTATAATTTCCATGAATGTTGTAACACTAAATCTATATGGTATTTATGTATACACTGCTATGTGTATATGGCTAAATACCATATTTGCATATTTTCAAACTTTATATAAGTGGTACCGTCTCATACAAAATACTCTCTAGTTCCATTTCATTAATATTATTTTAACATTTATCATTTTTTGTTTTTTTTTTTTTTAAGATTTATCCATGTTGATAGAAATATCTCTACTTCATTCCTTTTGACTTGGGCTATAACTTACATTCACCCTAATGGTTATTTTGATTGCTTTGAACTTTTCATTCTCAAATAATGCTGAAAGAGACTTTCATGTACATCACCCTAAACACATGAGGAGAGACTATAAGAGGTTTAAGTATGGAACTGCTGGGTCAGAGAGTATGCACATTTTCAACTTTACTAGAATTGCTAAATATCCTAAATACAACTACTTCCAATAGCACTGTATGAACATCCTACTATTCCACATCTTTCCGGTAATTGGCTGTGTGACACTTTTGCCAATGTGATGATTTTGAAATAGTTAACTGTGGTTTTATTTGCATTTCCCTTACTGTAATGGATATAAACAATTATTCTAATAACCTCAAATCCATCCTTTCTCTACAGGTATAAACCATCTTTCTCATATGCAGAATTTCTGTAGGTCAGACTCAATTTTCTTGGTGTCTTAAGAAGTCACACTTCATAGATGAATTTCAGAACAAGGTTGTGAAATTAAAGGCAAAAAGACCTGAGGAGTTTTAGTTCTTATTGCAGTGAATTTGTGAATTAGGAATAACATAACATTATTATCCTGAGTCTCTTCAGCCTAGATTATATGCTCCTCCCAGTTTATTATTCTTCATTTTGCTGAGTTGAGAGAATCTATTTTATATTTAACTATGAACAATTTCAATTCAATTTGAGCCTTTAAATAACTTTAAACTCCATGAGGACATAGTCTTAGTATTGATCACTACTGTCTCCTCATATCTAAAAGTGTCCAGCAAACAATAGCTACTCAATATTCACTGAATGAGTGGAAACATATATATTTCAAATATGTAAAAGCTTATATATATTTGTAACTTCTTTCCCTCAGTCCCCTTTTGGTTTCAATTTTACAACCACTGGTTTAAAAATTTACAAAATTTGTACTTTTTCTGTGGTATAGAACTTGCCTAAATTTACCTAAATTCACCCAATACAATTGCCTGAGCCTGGTGCCTTTTTATGGGATAGTATGAATTTTCTATGTTTATTGTTTTTTGGAGTTAATTGTGATAGTGTTTTCTTTCCTTGATCTAAATGTGAGTTCTGTATTCTGCGTGAATCCCCATTTTCTTTATATTGATTGGTTTATCCAGTTCTCTTTAGAAACTTCCTAAAACTGGTTGTAGGTGTAGGTCTACTACTTGTGTCTATATTGATTACTTATCTAGAGTATGAAGACTCCCACTTATGTTTCTCAAATGTTTGGGTTTTCTCAATTCTGACCTGCTTCCCAGGAATGTTCTACTTTATCCATTGAGGAATCTTATTCTAGCTGTGACGAGTAAGTGAGTTTATATATGTTGAGTATGTAGAACAGTGCCTGGTGCATAGTAGGCACTCAATACATGTAAGCTATCATGACTTATTGAATATCTGCTGTGTTTGTTGTGCTATGTGAAGCACTTTACATGCAAATTTATTACTTAATATGCATCAATCTACAACAGACACTATTTCATTTAATAATCACATTTCTACAATACAGTATCCTTTATTATCCCTATTTTAAGAATTAAAGAAAACCCTGAGGTTTAGATAGGTCAAACAAATTACTCAAAGTCACATAATGCCACAGTAGTGGTAGAGCTATGATTTTCCAGAATCTAAGCTCTTAGTCCTGGGAAGTGCCTAGTGCTCAGAGGAGACTGGAACAAAATAAGGCTGAAAGGTATAGAACCAGATATGAAATGCCTCATAGACAATTTTAAGACTGTAGATATTAGCTTAAGAACAATAGTAAGCTCCAAAAAAGTTTTAATTGGAGGCAGTGATGTATTCTTACACTCAATCAGTTTGAGTCATGGTGGGAAATGAATTTAAAGGGACCAAAAGTTGATACAGGAAGACATGTTAGAAAGCTACAGCATGGTGATCCAGGTGAGATGAATTGTAGACTATGGCAACATTAGAGATAGAGAAAAGAGTATAAATTCTGGAAATATTTATGAGAATGTCTAGAGGACTTGGTGATTGACTGGATTGGGTGGTGAGAGTGATTCCCCAAGATGGATTCTCTGATGATGAGCAAGATGTGCATGCTGCCTGAAAGTTTTCTTGCATTCCTTACATTCATAAGGTCTCTCTCCAGTATGAATTCTCTGATGTTGGGCAAGGGATCCACAGTAACTAAAAGCCTTTCCACAAACATTACATTCATAAGGCTTCTCTCCAGTATGAACTCTCTGATGTTGAGTAAGGGATGAGTCATTGCTAAAAGCCTTTCCACATTTAATACATTCATAGGGTTTCTCTCCAGTATGAACTCTTTGATGTTGGGCAAGGTAGGCAATCTGGCTGAATGCTTTCCTACATTCTTGACATTTATAAGGTTTTTCTCCAGTATGAATTCTCTGATGTTGAGCAAGATGTGAATTCTGGCTGAAAGCCTTCCCACATTCCTTACATTCATAGGGTCTCTCTCCAGTATGTATTCTCTGGTGTACAGTAAGGTATGCACGAAGGCTAAATGCTTTCCCACAGACATTACATTCGTACGGTTTCTCACCAGTATGAACTCTCTGGTGTTGAGCAATGGATGATCTATTGCTAAATGCTTTCCCACATTCAATACATTCATAAGGTTTCTCTCCAGTATGAACTCTCTGATGTTGAGCAAGGTAAGCAAACTGGCTAAAGGCTTTCCTACACACCTTGCATTCATAAGGTTTTTCTCCAGTATGAACTCTCAGATGTTGAACAAGGTGTGCATTCTGGCTGAAGGCTTTCCTACATTCCTTACATTCATAGGGTTTCTCTCCAGTATGAATCCTCTGATGTTGAACAAGATTTGATCTCTGGCTAAAGGCTTTTCCACATTCTACACATTTATATGGTTTCTCTCCAGTATGAATTCTTTGATGAAGAGTAAGAGATGAGCTCTGGCTAAAGACTTTTTCACAGTCATTACATTTCAAGAGTTTCTTCTCTGTATAGATACTCTTGGGCTTAATGGCCATTAAATTTTTTTTAAAGCTTTTCTTATGTGTATCATGCTTATGTACTTTTTCCTCTTTGGTGATTATCTGTTGTGTATGAAGCAGTGTGTTCAGATGGAAACCTCCCCAAGATCTGTTATATTCTTGTGCTCTTTTATGAACAAGGGCTTCTTCATGAGTGATTGTCTCTTCCTTGAAACATGCCTTCTGATTAACTGACTGTTTCTCAAAATTGCCCTCACATTTCCATTCTTCTCTCAAACTAGAATACTCAAGGCCATAGCTTGTGAGTTTTTCTATTATCTTCTGTGATGACTGTGCTTCATAAATGTTCTGCTTTGAAGTTAATTCTTCAGTGTCACACATAGATTCCCAGCCTGAAAAATAATAATTAAAGAAAACGTCTCGTGCTTGCTTCAGCAGTACATATACTAAAAAAAGAAAAAGAAAAAGAAAAGAATAAAAAGAAAACGTCTCCTCTATCATGTACTAGAAGAAACATTTATGAAAGTACATTCATACAGTGAAGTATGCAAATTTAATAAAGCCACAAGAAAATTGGCTTTTATAGTTCTGATGTTTGCAAGAAACAAAAGAGGTCACACAGAAACCTGAGGAGGAATGATTAGAATTATAAGGAAATCAGTAAGGTAAATCTCAGGTCAATAAGGAATTTTAGAAGTGGAGGGACTAGAGGCGCCTGGGTGGCTCACTGGGTTAAAGTCTCTGCCTTCGGCTCAGGTCATGATCCCAGGATCCTGGGATCGAGCCCCACATTAGGCTCTCTGCTCAGTGGGGAGCCTGCTTCCTCCTCTCTCTCTGCCTGCCTCTGCCTACTTGTGATCTCTGTCTGTCAAATAAATAAATAAAATCTTTAAAAAAAAATGAAGTGGAGGGACTTGGTTATAATTTTATGCATGTATGATTAACACAGGCACTGAAATAATTTCCATTCTTATAGTTGCTTCTTTCAAGAATATTCACTGAAACTTGTGCCATATAATCTTCTGAATTTTTTAAGATTTTACTTATTTATTTGACACAGAGAGAGAGGCAGCAAGAGAGGGAACACACGCAGGGAGAGTGGGACAGGGAGAAGTAGGCTTCCCACTGAGCAGGGAGCCCAATGCGGGGCTCAATCCCAGGACCCTGGGATCATGACCAGAGCCAAAGGCAGATGCTTAACCAACTGAGCCACCCAGGCACCCCTTGGACCTTATATTCTTAGGAGGGATAGGAAATAAATGCTAGATGAGTAAGTTTTATTATATATTAGGAAGTACTACGTGCCACAGAAAATGAAAAGCAGGGTAAAAGAGATTAGGAATGCTGGTAAAAATAATTAGTAAGTTAACATTTAAGCAAAGATTTGAAGCAAGCAAAGAAGTAAATCACTTAGATATATGGAGAAAGCATTCTGGGCAAAGGAAACAGCCTAAAAGTAGAAGCATGTTTTCTATGTTTGAGAAATAGCAAGTAGGCCAGTGTTACTGGAGAGGTGTAGTAGGAGATGAAATCAGGAGATAAAAGATTATTTAAGCTTCATATGCTTTCTAAGGAATTTGGCTCTTACCTTGAGAGGGATAGAGAACTACTGAAGTGTTTGTGGAGTAAAGGAGTGATATCTATTTACAGTTTAATAAAAATACTGAAAGGTGGAAAATAGGGAAGAAGCAAGGGGACCTAAGATTTTAGTAATCCAGGTGAAGAGATGAGTAACCAGACCAAGGAGCTATCAATGGAGGTATAGTGAGATGGTCAGATTCTAGGTATATTTTGTAGGAAATGCCAAGAGGATATCCTGACAGATTGGATATGAACTGTAACAGAAAAATGAGACAAGCAAGCCTTCAAAGTCTATGGTCTGAGCAATGGCAGGATGGATTAACCAACAACAGTGAAGGGGAAGGTCACAGGCACAGCAGGTTCAGGTAGAGAGATATGGAAGATCTGGAGTTCAATTTTGAATATAATAAACTTAAGGTATTTATTTATTTATTTATTTATTTTTTAAAGATTTTATTTATTTGTCAGAGAGAGAGAGGGAGAGAGAGCAAGCACAGGCAGACAGAATGGCAGGCAGAGGCAGAGGGAGAAGCAGGCTGCCTGATGAGCAAGGAGCCCGATGTGGGACTCGATCCCAGGACGCTGGGATCATGACCTGAGCCGAAGGCAGCTGCTTAACCAACTGAGCCACCCAGGCGTCCCTTAAGGTATTTTTTTAGATAATGAAATGGAAATGCTGAGAAGGCAGATGGACCCATAAGACTGAGTTTAAGATAGAGGTCTGGAATTTTAAACTAGGAATTGCCAACATATACATGGTAGTTTGTATGCATGTGTTTTTTAAAGATTTTATTTATTTATTTATTTATAAAAGTATTTTATTTATTTATTTGACAGAGAGAGATCACAAGTAGACAGAGAGGCAGGCAGAGGAGAGGAGGAAGCAGGCTCCCTGCTGAGTAGAGAGCCTGATGCAGGTCTTGATCCCAAGACCCTCAGACCATGACGTGAGCTGAAGGCAAACGCTTAACCCACTGAGCCACCTAGGCACCCCAAATATTTTATTTATTTATTTGTCAGAGAGAGAGAGCACAAGCAGGAGGAGCAGCAGGCAGAGGGAGCTTCAACCCAGGACTTGATCCCAGGACTCTGAGATCATGACCTGAGCTGAAGGCAAATGTTTAACTGACTGTACCACCCAGGCACCTGCCAACATATACGTGGTAGTTAAAGAGAATATATTACCGGGTGCCTGGGTGGCTCAGTGGGTTAAGCCGCTGCCTTCGGCTCAGGTCATGATCTCAGGGTCCTGGGATCGAGTCCCGCGTCGGGCTCTCTGCTCAGCAGGGAGCCTGCTTCCCCCCCCTCTCTCTCTGCCTGCCTCTCTGTCTACTTGTGATCTCTCTCTGTCAAATAAATAAATAAAATCTAAAAAAAAAAAAAAAGAAAATATATTACCAAGAGAATGAGTGTGGATAAACAGAAGAGAAAGGAGCAAGTAATGAACAACCCTAAAGCACTCCAACATTAAGATATCTGAGAAAACAGAACAAAGTAAAAGAGATTAAGAAGGAGTAAGTGTTAAAAAAAATGTTAAGGGGCACCTGGGTGGCTCAGTCAGTTAAGTATCTGCCTTGGGCTCAGGTCATGATCCCAGGGTGCTGGGACTGAGCCCTGAGTCAGGCTCCCTGCTCAGCAGGGAGTCTGTTTCTCCCTCTGTCTCTCCTGGCTTATGCTTTCTCTCTCGCTCACTCTCAAATAAATAAAATCTTTAAAATAAATAAATAAATAAAAATTTTAAAAATATTAAAAAAAGGAATGTTAAATCATGGTTAAGAACATTAATATCACATGATATTAAACTAAAGGTTGTAATGAAAATCAACTGTTCAATCATTTATACTGAAAAAGGATAAAATACTGAAAAAGAATAAAATTGGGAGACCTGGGTGGTTCAGTCAGTTGAGCAACTTGCCTTTGGCTCAGGTCATGATCTCAGGGTCCTGGAATCTAATCCTGCTTCGAGTTCCCTGCTCAACAGGGAGTCTGCTTATCCTTGTCCCTCTGACCCTCCTCCCTGCTTGTGCTCTATCTCAAATAAATAAATAAAATCTTTTTAAAAAAATTAAAACCTGGAATATGAGTCAAGAAATGTCACAAAAATAATAACAACAGCTAATGATAGTAATCATTAAAAAGAATTATGTGCATGTTGTGACTTGCAAAACACCAGAAATGAGTCATTACATAAATAAAAGGTGCCTAATAGAATGTAGAAGCTATGTAGAAGGGAGATTACTGTAGTATTTATCCTTACTGTTTCAAATAAGAATGTATCATTTTGCAATTTTAGAATCAATTTTAAAAAGCAATAAGGGAAAACATAAAGAAAATAATTAACCTCAGAAGAAAACTGTAACATTGACAACAAAAATGAAGAGGGAAAATATCCTAAAAATAATCTTTACAAGAAATAGGCAAAAGCTTTACAATTCTAATGAGGGACCCAATGCCCCCCCACAAATCTGCATAAAGGGAGAAGATGCATACTTTGTTTTTCTATGTGAAGAACAATGTAAAGCCATTAATTCTAAATCAATATATTACTTTCACTCATAATCAGAACTGCATTGTGAATTTTTAAAAAAAATTGTTTAATAAAGTATTTGGCAGAACTTTGTGGTCCATCTAAAGCCTCTATATTCCTGGAAGGAGTGTCACTGTTATTCATAGTGAGCCCCTTGGACCACACCTGATAGTTTATAACTATAGTTTATGACTCACAACATACCCCTATATAATTTTTGCTAATGTGATGATTTAGGATGGAGGCTGGCCATGCCAGAAAGACCAACTATGTAACTAAAGTATTGATGCTTTGAGCCACCATGGTATCAGTTTGACTTTTGTGAAGGGAAGGAGGCTGGAGATTGTATCACATTGAGGACTCAGCAGTGACTCACTCAATCATGCCTACATAACAAAACTGAAACACAAAAAAACAAATAACCCTGTACAATGATGCTCTCTAGAGAGCTTATTCTTTTAAACACTGAAATGTCTGGAGGGCCCCTTCATGTTTGCAGGTCTCGGAGACCTTGCCCTTGGTGTCTCTACTTTTGGCTGGTTCTTTGTATCTTTTGTTAAAATAAAACTGTAATCATAATATATTTCTTCCCTGACCTCTGTGAACCACTGTTGTGAATTATCAAATGTGAGGGTGTCTGCGGATACCCCCTTATCTGTAGCCAGCTCGTCAGAAATGAGGGCGGCCCTGAAGATCCAAACTTGCAGCTGGTGTCTGAAATAAGCACGGTCTTGTGCAGACTGTTCTCTCAGATTTTGAAGTTTGGAAAACTGACCTTTTTAAAAAATCCAGGGGCGCCTGGATGGCTCAGTGGGCTAAGCCTCTGCCTTTGGCTCAGGTCATGATCTCAGGGTCTTGGGA